CAGAGAGAGAGAGAGAGAGAGAGAGAGAGAGAGAGAGAGAGAGAGAGAGAGAGAGTGAGAGAGACTATGACAAGTTTCTGAGAAGATGGAAAAGTAGCAGGACTAAAATGATTGGTAAAGAGAAAGCGATGAGTCGCACCTAGACAAAGAAGAAAAAATAAATACCCAACCCCCAATAAAAAAGCGAAAAAACAAACAAACAACCAACAACAACAAAAAAGAAACAAACAAAAAAAGCAAAACAGCGAAAAACAAATAAAAAACCACCATTAACAACAACAGCAAAAGTCAAAGTGAAGAAAAAGCCAAAGAGAATATTATCGAAAAGAAAAAGTGACAAATTAAGATAAAGGATGGAGAAAATACTCTCTAAAACATTGAAAGAGAAAACACTGAACAAGAGGGATATCGCGAAAAGAAACTTAGAATGTTATCCTGAAAAAAGATGAATTTTAAAAAATAAAATGAGAACGCAGTTAAGGACGGGAAAAGGGTTAAACTAAGATAACCAAGACCACAGAGATGGGAAAGAATCTAAGAAAAGAGAGAAGAGAGAAAAAGCCAGGGATATAGAGCAGAAGGACAATGAGATGGGTGTTCAGCTACTCACCTGCAATAGTAAAGCAGCCCCCGGTGGCCTTCGGTCCCAAGACTGTCTGCCCTACAGTTATCTGATTCTGTCCTGGGAGGATAGTGACGAAACCCAGACATAAGCCAAACCCAGCCATGATCTCTCCCATCAACGTCATTGCCTCCACGGCTTCAACAGCTGAGGGAAGAAAACCATTAAATTGCCTTCCACGAGGGGAGGAGTGTGGACGGATAAAGGGGCTTTTGAAGCTTTGTGAAGACGAATCAAACCGATATAACTCATTTCTTTTGTTTGGTCACTAAATGACCATTGTTGTGTCGATGTGCTTCTCTTTACTCAATCAAACTTTTTTTGGGGAGGTTCTGGTCTTCTGCTCAAAACTATCTCTCTACAGCCACACAGTTCAAGGAGGGCATGGGAAAAACTTCGGCCTGCGAGCCAGGTGTAGAGTAATTGCTTAAATAGCGACGACTGTCGATGACATAGAGTTGAGAATGCCATGCCAGGCGGAAATTTCACTTTCTGACAGTTTTTTTAATGACTATCTGCTTCGCTAAGTCACATTAAGTTGACCTGTAGACTGTATACGCATTGTGCTTGGTCGTCGACATTGTCTAAAGTCTGCTTGCATACTCTGCCGAACAGTCACAGAACAGACGAAAAAAGAGTTGGGCCTAGATCATCACACTGTGTTGCACACGTTTCTGCGCTCTACGTTAGAGGTATTCTTCAGTCTTGGGTTAGAGTAAAGAAGAGAGATTGCCTATAAATGCCAGTGACGCAATGAAACGCAACACGTGCAGCAACTTGTCATGTACATAATATGAATGAACTGCCTTCGCAGAGATAATAGGCCATGATGAACAGAAGGTTGCGCGACTGACGTGTTTTCCATATTATTGTATCACTAAGTCCATAGGTATATTATTATGTAGTGTAATTTTGAACGCTTAATAGGCTGCTCTTCAGTGCTCCCTATGTCTATCAAATTCTTATAGGCATACGGGTATTCGAGTTCTGTGACAAATGTCCCTTGTGTTTACTGGTAAGATGATTGCACGTCCTTAGAAGAAAAGCGTGATCTCTTTCAGCCCGTGAGGCAGGAAAGACAGTCATCTTTTTGTCATCACTGATGACTTTACGTTTATCTTGACTCACTGACCTACCCTGACACCATGATTTTCGAATATATTTGTAGAATGCAATACCTTTGGCAATTGATGATCAGCCACGAGTGATCATATCCTGGACCTTGACATAACATCAAAGAACAATTCAATAGTAAGCAATCTAAGTGTCACCGAAAAGCCATTTCTGACTACCATCAAGTTATAATGGACTTGTCTGTCCAAAAACACCAATTACCTATACGAGTTGAGCAGTCAAGAAGCATGAAAAACTAAATGTAATGTCGTTAACCATGAAATTGGACAGTTAACCATCGGATATGATATTTGTATCAGCTGAGAATATCGATTCTATTTTAAGGGACGCTACTTTTGTGCTCGTGCCATCACAGAGAGAGATGTATCATCTTGATTCTGTTTAGAGATGAAAGCGGCCAAGATGAAACATCAATAAGGGAAGGGACCACAAAATCAAATCCGGCTTAGATCTAGATGTTCACAGGGAGCGGTTTGAAGTTTGTGACATAAAAGAGCAGAATGACTTCCATTATTATCATATACTTAAAAAAGATTGTTTAAAATAAAATATTTTGAAATTTTCACAGCTTGAAATGGAATGCTTAAAACCACAAAATAATTATTTATTAGGGGAATAAAACATGTTTCCTGTGCCCAAAGGTATGTGCAAAGACTCGTGTGAAGCATTCTCTACCTGTCCCAGTGAAAAGATTTGCAAAATGCAAGATCATTAATATTATATTGCATTCTCGAGCAGCAATATGAAGGTTACAACCGTGTTGTTCGTCGTCAGTTTAGATAAATGACCTAGGACTACGATCTGGACCGTTTTTACTCTGCATCTTGTAGGACAAGCTTTTCGACGCCATTTCACTCATTTCAACAACACCCTTGAAGGAATATATTAACATTCTTACACTGCATGTTAGGCTACTGTGGTGGTTTTCTAACAAAGACAATGTAGAAACTAATTGGGAATTCCATTTTCTTTTGGTTTACCGCTGTTTCCAGATTGACCATCCTCGGTTTAGGTGTACTACGCAGTACGATGACGCATTGTCGTTCATCGAAATTCTAATTGTGATTGTCAGGAATTTGCCCGTGGTCATATACGGCAGAAAAAAGTAAGAGTTATACAAATAGACAGAAGCAGCAGAGGGAAAGAGAAGAAGAAGTTCTTACACAGTGGAAGCTCTAGCCGCCCACAACAAATTGTGCCCACAAAACCACACCAGCAACTAAGCTGAAAAGGGAATATGGGCTATTGCAGAACTTGCCATGAGATAGGATTAAGAATGCTGAAGCCAAGCTCACAATAACGGCTGAGAATATAAAAGTCGCACTAAACTAGCACGTCTCACAGAAAAAGAGATTTAGGCCCAAAGAAAAAGTTAGACCCTTTACCCAGGTTCCTGGATTACGTATAGCGTTTGTTGACAGGAAAAACAAACACGTATTTAGATATTTTAGGGGCTGGCAGCTTGAACTAAGCCTGTCTGACCCAACCCTGATTGTGAGGGATACAACACCCCATTATACAGACCGAGATGTTTATTCTAAAAAGTTTTCATTCAGCACGAGAGTCAAATTTGCGTCTCTCATGTGCGATGGTGGAAACACTAACCCTTACACCATAAGCGCCAGAATTGTTATCTAAAACAGCCATTCGGTAACAAAGGGCGACAAACAGGCAAATATAAATGACTCACCTGTTCCTATAGTATTCGAGCAGAACGGACCAATTTCAACTAATATACTATCTATCCACTTTCCTGTTCCCATGCCAACAGCAGACACTGTAAACCCAATGAATCCAAACAACAGCCCTGCGATCTTCAGCAAAGTGGTAGATTCCATTTTCTAGGGAAAGAAGTCAATATTTTTTCTGGTTAGTCATACTAACGTATTCCAAAAACTTAAATATTCTCCTGATTTTCCAATGAATTTTTTCTACAGATCAAATGTACACATATTGAAAAAAAAAGAGTAAAGATAAAAACCATATATCGGTAGGAAATGAGGAGCAAATCACGCCAGAGCACGCGCCAACCACCCATTAAATTCATATCCTATTGAAATAAACTGCAACAAACAATAAATCACATGTCACGAAACAGTAACTATTAAAAGAATCAGAACATATCAACAAACAGCAGGTCTAATGAAGGTAAAGTCTAGATCTTACTCGATGACAGTCAGGGCTAGTTTTCTTTCATTTATCATTATTACGAGGGGCTTACCAAAAGTTGTTTTTTTTACCTGAACATGAAGAAATAAAGGTAGAACGCCAACAATCATTTTCCTAAATTGCTAGTAAATTTTGGGGAATTTCAGATTACTGGTTTTACCACCAGCGCACTGTAAGTGAATAGGCTGTTCTCCAGTTTCAACATAAAAATGGAGAAAATTGAGCGCAGGACACTAATGAAGTATTTGTTCTTGCAAGACAAGCAACTACAAGATATTATTACGGAAATGCATGCCGTATCTGGAACTGATTGCCCATCCTAAGCTGAGATTAAATTTCGGTGTAAAAAAAGTGATGATGAGGTCAAAGAAGCGGTAGAGGGGTGGTTTTCTGATCCTCTATTCTCAAAGTCTTTTCAAGGTCATACACAGATGGTAAATGGGAGGCAACTACATAAAAAAGACTAAGCTTCCTACCAAATTTCAGCTTTCTACCTTTATTTCTTCATGGTCAGGTAAAAAACTTTTGGTATGCCCCTCATGTATACTCGAAGTTCTTGTGGCCCAATCTTTGGGTATCGTTTAAGAAGAAACCTCCGAATTTTTAGACCTCAAAATTTAAACAGAGGTAGAGTGTAATGTTTCGAAGAGTCCAATTTTCATGATTTTGAACTTAAGAATAATGAAATTTCAATTGCTATAACATAATAATAATATATAGTACCACCACCCCCCGCACTTAGCGATTGGTTTCCTATACTATTTATTTGAAAGGTGTGAGTTTCAAACACTATGTATCGTTCTAAAGCGCTCTAGAACTCAGCCATTGCTTTTCTGTTCCACCGTTTGCCCTTCAGTATAGGTTCAGAGCTGGTTAGTGAGATCCCGTTCTCTGACATTCAAAGTTTCAGCAGGAGTACGGGCGTTGCCGCATACAAAAGGCATGCAACGTTGTATGGATTATTGGAACAAATTCTGACATCTAGGAGGAATCGGTTGAAATATGCAGCTGTCTTGCCCCCTTTTTGAATGCCATGATAGACCAGGCCAGCCTCGATACCGACAGCAAAAAAGAGGTTTTTGTGTCTTCAATCCTGCACCACTTGAACGACGTGTTGACTGACCACAGTGCGTTCATCCTTGGATTCTCCTTTTCCATATTATGTTGTTCACAGCCTCATCGTTAACGACACTCACACCGTTAAAGACATTCGATCAACCAAGATGCATGTAGATGTCTGGCAGCATTAGCTCTATCAGATTCATTTCCGCAGAAGATTTTTCGTCGTAATCATTTCAGCCAGAAGGATATTTCCAACAGTTGCCGTTGTAGTGTACCTTACATAATTGATACATTTGTACGCATCTAGATATTCAGCATCACCGATGGTCATCGTCAACAGGTTGCATATACATTTATCGCAAGACATGCTTAATCTACTGTTGTTCATTTCACTGGTTATCTTTCTTTTCTATTGCCACTCCTGGGATAAAATGCAATACAATCATTTGCTTGTGCTCAACGGAGGTAGTAATCAGTGGTTATTTGTGTCTTTATCCACTCTAATCTCATGTCCTACTTCAGGGGCGGCTCATGGGGCTAAAAAGTGTGTGTTCACAAATCAGGTGGAATCAGGCTCTCGTCAATTTTTGGGCATACTGAGTTATTGGTATCATCTTAAAACTTGTTCATTTGTCTTGCTTTCAATGAAAAATCACCCATCCATCTTCAATAGAAGTGGAGATATTTTGGATTGATGGAGGTGGGGGGTAGTATTAGCGAGAAAATGGCCCCCAAAACTTTGTAAATTCCAAAGCTGGAGAGTCCATGGAACTTGCAAATTTATATTTTTGTGCCTTTAATCAACGTTTTCGGTGAAATCCTCAAAGGAATATGTTTGTATATGGACATAAAAGGTGTTGAGCCAAAACCTAAAAATTTGATAAAAATTGCTAAGCAGGGAGAAAACTGCTGTTTTCTTCGATATCATTATTTTGACGAGAGCCTGATTCCACCCCGCTGCCTCACAATTAAGCTATCGCAAACAGAAGATAGTTAAGGGCATAGTAAATGAGATGGTTTAAAATTTTAGGATCTTAGGGTTGGTAAGGGACGACCTCATGCTTTAATTCAATTTCGTTCATCCTGTATTGAAACTGAACACTCAAGTAATAACTTTCACCACTCCACTACAAAACAATTCATCAAAGGCACAATTCATAGGACGGTGACTTAAGTAAGTCACGATCACCTCCCTCAGGTTCACGAGAGTCAATTAAAATAGTGGCACTATTCGGCAGCAGCACATTTGAGATGTGACGTCTTATTAATATTAATGTACCGCCAAAACTCGCTTCGAGTGTCGTCATCGTCTGGGTTAGCCCAATGAGCGATTTATAGGTCAGGTTACACTATTGAATATCCCATTAAGTTAAGTTAAAGCGCGTGGACTTTGGCATAGCATAGTAGATATTTCACGGTGCTATATGCACTGAAATTGATATAACATTTGGTTAGTGTTTGTATCTGGCTTTTTAAAATTTTATTATTGTGGGGGCTTTACGTAATGAAACATTAAAACATTTTGAGCTGCACTGCATGACCGTGCTCATTGGACGAACCTCAACGGGGCCCCTGACTCTTTCTGCTGCTACTCCTGGCTCCTTCTTACTGTTGTTTTTCAGCCACACCCTTGATCTTAGAGTAGGTAAGATCGAACACCTATCCTTCTCAAATAAGGGGGAACAAATCTAGGTCGTCCCAGTGCAACTTGCGCACGTTGAAGATCTCTTGGTGGTTCTAGAATCGGTCAGAGTAGGCCTCGGGCGCCACCCGGCAAAATTCAAAATTATTTCCGACCAAAACTAAAAACGCTTGATGTGAAATCAACAAACTTGTATGCAACGTGCTCATAATACGACCTCATGCAGCTACAAACGCCATAAATCTCTTATCAAAACAAAGACCTGTGTTACGATAATGACCCAGTTTGTCGATGTGTGCTGAGTATAATTTTTTTAAGAGAAGAAAAATGTTGCAACATTAAAACATTCGCAAAACGTTACTTAGATAGTTTTACATCCTTTGATTGAAATAGAGGAAACAGGCCATGCCTGGAACAAACGTGATATTTAAAACATGCAAAACTATAAGTCTCAAATTACCAGCAACAAGAGTTACTACCTTTCTTTAAGTAACAAACCAGAACTATAACTTTGTTACGAAATGAGCAGAAAATTTATATCAAGCAGCAAACCTAACTTACTTACATGACACAGAGAACGATAACAATATTGTGGTGAAATGCGTGAAAGCAGCCTTGCCACATCCGTATCACATAGACAGAAGTGACAAAGCCGGGATAACAACACTCTAATAATAGATAGTGTGGCTATTCATCATTAAAGGTATATATATATATATATATATATATATATATATATATATATATATATATATATATATATATATATATATATATATATAACCGTCTGGGTACTATTAGAATACTATCGATGTCATGTTTATAAATGAGCTTAAAAGATAACCGAATAATTATTTGTTGAAAATGTAAACCTAATTCTTAAGCGTCAGAAGGATGATATTTTTACAATTGCTACTTACGTATTGTCAGCGATCTTGACAATAATAGATCTGCAATGATCATTCAAGCTAAAATAATGCCAAGAAAAAGAGTAGAGACTTCATATAAGCTGAATCGGGTGTCTGTGCTCTTCGGCTTGTGATGGACAGTCTTTATATAATTACAGCTATAGTCATTGTTCACCTGTTGAGCTAACCTAGGATGCGTTATCTATAATAAAAATGAACAAGGCCTGCAAATCAAATTCCTTGGGAAGAGCAAATAAGATAATACTTTTATCTGTATTTTTTTTTTACATGTTATCTTGAAATATCGAATTACAACAGCGTTCAGCTCAATGAACTGTGATATGCAGAACCGTGTCTGGGATGAATTCTCTAATCGCATTAACGTTGCCTGTGCTGTTGATGATGGCTACAAAGAACACTTATTGTAAGATAAAAAATAAAATATGATAAAAGTTGACTGTTGACTTGAGTTTTCTATTGCACTTCCTATTTAAAATATTGCGTATTGAAATCGATTTGTTCTTATTGAATCACCATATACAACCACACACACACACACACACACACACACACACACACACACACACACACACACACACACACACACACACTCTCTCACACACACACACACTCTCTCTCTCTCTCACACACACACGCACACACACAAACACATACACACACATACACAACCCTCCCCTCTCTACACTGTGTGGAGATATATATATACCCTATCTCTATCTCCTTATATTTATATCTAAATTATACCCCCCTCAGTGTGTGTGTGTGTGTGTGTGTGTGTATGTGTGTGTGTGTGTGTGTGTGTGTGTGTGTGTGTGTGTGTGTGTGTGTGTGAAAGAGACACAGAGAAAGAGAAAGAGAGAGAGAGAAAAGAGAGAGAGAGAGAGAGAGAGAGAGAGAGAGAGAGAGAGAGAGAGAGAGAGAGAGAGAGAGAGAGAACGAGAGAGAGAGAGTGTGCGAGTGTGTGCCTGTGTGTGTGAGTGTGTGTCGAACGCTGTGGAATCAGGTGCTCGTCAACTTTGCATCAGAGCTCGCCTCTCCCAAGTCTGACTTTTGGGGTTTATTACAATATCAATTAAGCCTGAAAGTTGTCCTTCCTGTTTGTGATAAGAATATACGACGTGGTGCATTCGTGGTATAAAGTAATCTAAATCTAGTAGGAAAAAGAGTCAGACGCAAATTATTTTGTTAATTTTGATACGCTGGTTCCAAATTTGGCATTTTGACGATAGAACGTAGCATTCAATCAAAGATAGTATATAACAAGATGGGCCGCTCCTCTCTTTGAGCCAATTAAAAAAGTGTCCTCGAAATTCGGTGGCGCCCTCTTCGCAAATGCGCACCCTTTGCGAACAGAGTTACCCTACTTGAGTTTAAAAAATCAAAGTGAAACTAGTAAGTTTTAAAATAAATTTCGGAAGAACGCTTTTTAAAAATAGTTACGCAGACAAAAAACTCTTCCGGAGGAAAGGGTGATTGTTTTCTTCGTTTAATTTGACTTCAGAATGAAAGGCGAGAGGTCATTAAAATTATTAAAAAAACAAAAACTCCGCACTGAACGAACCCGAACTGCTGATGAACAGCAGTCGATCTCCGCAAGCAAGGAGGTGCTATTCCTATTCTTCTTCTGGAAAAACGAAAGAGAGCTTCAAAACAGACTGCAGCGCCATCTGAAGCAAAGAGCGGACTTCCGGCGGACACTTTTTTGGCTGAGAGGCCCATCTTGTTATTTACTATCTTTGATTCAATAAGTTTGTAAACGAAATATCGTCAGCGGGCCGCAACGATACCATGATCAATACCATCAAGATGATGTATTAACTCAGCACAGTCGCTGTTTCCCGGACGAATGTTTTCCCAAGAGACCATAAATGCGTTGTATAATTATTCATAATCATTGGTCTTCCCAGCTTTTAAAAATAGAGTCACTATTCCTCGGTGCTCCGCTCGACCCATCAGGTGCCAATGAGTATGGGGCAGTGCTCCATCATTTTGAAAAAGGAAGTCATGCAAATCTGCTTGCTTGACGTGTAGAGCTAGTTTTGGAGCATATCGAGATAGATCTAGGTTTGTCCTGTAACGGTATTTCCCTCAAACTTCAAAGCAAGAACAACACAACAACAGCAACCTCCTCCTCCGTGATAGCTATTAAAAAATTAGACCTAAATAGCTCCTCTTTCTAAAGGTCACCGACTCATTCTACAAACCATGCTTCAAAAACTGAAACACATTGTCATAAAATCGGTTCAATCTTTTTGAATCACCCTGTATATTATACATTTGTATCTACACCTACACACACACACACACACACACACACACACACACACACACACACACACACACACACACACACACACACACACACACACACACACAAACACACACACACACACACACACACACACACACATATATATATATATATATATATATATATATATATATATATATATATATATATATATATAAACACATTATCCCTTGCCCATTTATATGAGATTGGCGCCATCTGATTAGTAGAAAAAGTGCGTATGATACTTTAACGTGCGCAACTTGCACACGGGACCTCCGAGATTTTTCGTCCTTGTCCGAGAAGGCTAGGTGTAGATCTTTCCTACCAGAAGACTAAGGGTGTTGCTGAAACACAGCAGTAAGAAGGAGCCAAGGAGTAGCAGTAGAAATGCTGCAGAAAGAGTCAGGAGCCCAGAGTAGGGAGCAGAGGAGGTGAGGGGATGGGGGCAGAAAGTGGAGACGAAAGCAGACGACAGAAAATTGCTAGAGAGCAGGAGACGAGGTGAAATGAGACAATTTTAAAGAAGAACATTTTCCGTCGTTATCCGGATTCGAACCTGGGACCTTTGAATGAGAGGCAACCACGTTAACCTCTAGGCCTCCAGAGTCCCCTCACCCCCAATATATATATATATCATTTTTAACTTCACACATTTTAAGAGTGTTTAGCTGAAAAAGTAAAAGGCCAATCACTTTGACATTTTTACAAATGTCACGTGAGGTCATAGGCGCTTGTGAAGTGTACTCACTAAAGAGCTCTGGTCTATCCTTTTGTCTGACTATGTTATTAATGTGGTTTTAACATTTATAAAATATTGTGAAAATATGTAAATACAAAAACAAAACACATGTAAAGTTTGGCTCTTTTAAAATTTTCGCCGCATCAAAAAGTTGCTTCTCTTTGTCGATTCTCCATGCTCCGGCTGAACGAATCTGCTGAGCACCTCGGTTTCGTCTGTTTTGAGATGGCTCAAGGTAAGCAGACGCTGTGTATTCTACACGAAATCACTTGGCAACAAAAGGCTTCCAAAAAGCCAAACCCAAACGAGTAGTACGCAGAGAGACAAAACGGAGGGAAAACACATTCATCCAAACGCAGCGCGTAAGAAATCGATTTCAAACGGCAACACAGATTCAAGATAAGTCGAACAGAGTCAGAAATGGCAATCTGATCTCTGTAATGTCTGTTCGTCTTTATTTGAACGAATGGAGCCTTCGAGCTAGCTGCCTATATTGTTGCAAAACACTACAGCACTATCACATCCAGCACAAACTTCCCTGCACACAGTATCGCGTGAGATGGCCACGTCGTATTTGGAATACGTACATGTTTCAGATTAGTTCCAATTTCATATCATCTGTGGACGGATCAGAGTCTACAGAAGACTCCACCAACGGCAAACCCCAGCTTGCCTCAAACAAGCACATAATTTCAGTGGAGGCAGGTCATGGTGTGGGCTGGAATCAGCGATGCTGGCAACAACACCCGTGTCTATTCAAGGAGACATAACTGCTCAAGGCTACATCAACCAAGTTCTCTAGCCCAGTGTTGCACTTTACATAAAAAGAAAAAAACAAGCTCAAGGACAAGTACTCGTGCGGGAAAATGCACCTGCTCAAATAGCTACTGTGACAAATCAATTTGTCAGGGCTAACACCATTCCTCTCCTGTACCTATGACCAGCGTATTCACTAGATCTCAATCCAATTGAGAACTTAGGGGACATTTTAGATTGCGCCATTCGTGTCAGACTCCGCCAATCTTGCTTAGAAAAATCCCTTATTAAAGAGTGGAATAATATCCCTCAACAGTTTATAACTTGACTCATTCAGTCCATGCATCGACGATGTGAAGATGTGGACAGCACCAGATGTCACCACACTCGTTACTAAAGCTGTCACTTTGCACTTAGACCCCTGTAAATTGTAAGTTCAAATTAAAAGATTAAAAACGTTCTTCTCCTTGAATTCAACGTGTATTCCTTGTTGCAAAATGGATACACTGTATCAAACAAGATAATTGTCCTGGAAACAAGGTGTGAAGTTAAACATGTTAAAGAGTATATACATGTATTTATCTTTTATCTTCCCGTTTGGCAATTTTTATTTAATTTTGTTGCTCAAAACCTTTTAATTTAATAAAAAATGTATTGCTGTGTGGATTTTTACTGAAAGACATTGATTAAAAGCACAAAAATTTAAACTTACAGTTTTCAAGGACTCTAAAGCTTTGGAATCTCAAACATTTGGCGGCCATTTTCTCGCTAATTTTACCTCTGAAACCAGGCGAATCCCACTTCCTTCAATCGCAAATATCTCGACTTCTATTGAAGATAAATGGATAATAGTATGATCCGAAGCGAGACAAAAACAAACAAACAAAAAATTAAAAACAAGCGTTAGAATAATGTCAATAATACTGTATATG